CATGCCTGCTGGAAGCCAAGCCCCTCGCACACAAAACCTCCTTTACCCCCTCCCTCCACCCTTCCTAGGCCGACCCCTACCCCGCCTTCCTTCCACTACAGACTGATACACTCTTGAAGTCATTTGTTTCGCTCCATTCTCTCTACATGTCCGAACCACCTCAACAACCCTTCCTCAGCCCCCTGGACAACAGTTTTGGTAATCCCGCCCACCTCCTCCTAACTTCCAAACTACGAATTCTCTGCATTATATTCACACCACACATTGCCCTCAGACATGACATCTCCACTGCCCCCACCTTCTCCTCGCTGCAACATTCATCACCCAAACGCTTCACACCCATATAAGAGCGTTGGTAAAACTTACTCTCATACATCCCCTCTTGGGCCTCCAAGGCCAAAGTTCTTTGTCTCCCAGACTCCAAATGCCACCACTCCCCTCTTTTTCCCTCATCAATTTCTATGATTCACCTCATCTTTCATAGACCCACCCCGCTGACACGTCCACTCCCAAATATCTGAATACTTTCACCTCCTCCATACTCTCTCCCTCCAATCTGAAATTCAATCTTTCATCACCTAATCTTTTTGTTATCCTCATAACCTTACTCTTTCCTGTATTCACCTTTAATTTTCTTCTTTTGCACACCCTACCATATTCACCACCAATCTCTGCAATTTCTCTTCAGAATCCCCCAAGGGAGAAACAGTGTCATCAGCAAAGAGCACTGTGACAACTCCCCACTTTGTGGGGATTCTTTATCTTTTAACTCCCACGCCTCTTCCCAAGACCCTCGCATTTACTTCTCTTACAACCCCATCTATAAATATATTAAACAACCACGGTGACATCACACATCCTTGTCTAAGGCCTACTTTTACTGGGAAAAAATTTCCCTCTTTCCTACATACTCTAACTTGAGCCTCACTATCCTCGTAAAAACTCTTCACTGCTTTCAGTAACCTACCTCCTACACCATACACTTGCAACATCTGCCACATTGCCCCCCTATCCCCCCTGTCATACCCTTTTCCAAATCCATAAATGCCACAAAGACCTCTTTAGCCTTACTAAATACTGTTCACTTATATGTTTCACTGTAAACACCTGGTCCACACCCCCCCCTACCTTTCCTAAAGCCCCTTGTTCATCTCCCTATCCTATTCTCCGTCTTACTCTTAATTCTTTCAATTATAACTCTACCATACACTTTACCAGGTACACTCAACAGACTTATCCCCCTATAATTTTTTGCACTCTCTTTTATCCCCTTTGCCTTTATACAAAGGAACTATGCATGCTCTCGCCAATCCTGGGTACCTTACCCTCTTCCATACATTTATTAAATTTTTGCACCAACCACTCCAAAACTATAACCCCACCTGCTTTTAACATTTCTACTTTATCCCAAACAATCCCGGCTGCCTTACCCCCTTTCATTTACCTACTGCCCTCACGAACTTCCCCCACACTCACAACTGGCTCTTCCTCCTCCTCCAACAAGATGTTTTTTCCTCCTTGCCCTATACCGAAATCACAGCTTCCCTATCTTTTATCAACATTTAACAATTTCCCCCCAAAATATTCCTTCCATCTTTCCCCAAAACCTCTAACTCTTCATTTAATAACTCTCCTCTCCTATTTTTAACTGACAAATCCATTTGTTCTCTAGGCTTTCTTAAATTGTTAATCTCACTCCCAAAAATTTTTCTTATTTTTAACAAAATTTGTTGATAACATCTCCCCCCACTCTCTCATTTGCTCTCTTTTTACATTGCTTCACCCACTCTCTTAACTTCCTTTTTCTCCATATACTCTTCCCTCCTTGCATCACTTCTACTTTGTAAAAACTTCTCATATGCTAACTTTTTTCTCCCTTACTACTCTCTTACATCAAACATTCCACCAATCGCTCCTCTTCCCTCCTGCACCCACTTCCCTGTAACCACAAACTTTTGCTGAACACTCTAACACTACATTTTAAACCTACCCCATACTTCTTCGACCCCATTGCCTATGCTCTCATTAGCCCAAACTATCCTCCAATACTGTTTATATCTTACCCTAACTGCCTCCTCTTTTAGTTTATAAACCTTCCCTCTCTCTTCCCTGATGCTTCTATTCTCCTTGTATCCCATCTACCTTTTTCTCTCAGTGTAGCTACAACTAGAAAGTGATCTGATATATCTGTGGCCCCTTTTATAAACATGTACATCCTGAAGTCTACTCAACAGTCTTTTATTTTACCAATACTAATCCAACAAACTACTGTCATTTCGCCCTACATCATATCGTTATACTTATTTATCCTCTTTTTCTTAAAATATGTATTACCTATAACTAAACCCCTTTCTATAACAAAGTTCAATCAAAGGGCTCCCATTATCATTTTCACCTGGCACCCCAAACTTACCTACCCACACCCTCTCTAAAAGTTTCTCCTACTTTAGCATTCAAGTCCCCTACCACAATTACTCTCTCACTTGGTTCAAAGGCTCCTATACATTCACTTAACATCTCCCAAAATCTCTCTCTCTCTCCTCTGCATTCCTCTCTTCTCCAGGTGCATACACGCTTATTATGACCCACTTCTCGCATCCAACCTTTACTTTAATCCACATAATTCTTGAATTTACACATTCATATTCTCTTTTCTCCTTCCATAACTGATCATTTAACATTACTGCTACCCCTTCCTTTGCTCTAACTCTCTCAGATACTCCAGATTTAATCCCATTTATTTCCCCCCACTGAAACTCTCCTACCCCTTCAGCTTTGTTTCGCTTAGGGCCAGGACATCCAACTTCTTTTCATTCATAACATCAGCAATCATCTGTTTCTTGTCATCCGCACTACATCCACGCACATTTAAGCAACCCAGTTTTATAAAGTTTTCTTCTTCTCTTTTTTAGTAATTGTATACAGGAGAAGGGTTACTAGCCCATTGCTCCCGGCATTTTAGTCGCCTCATACGACACGCATGGCTTACGGAGGAAAGATTCTTTTCCACTTCCCCATGGACAATAGAAGAAATAAAAAAGAACAAGAGCTATTTAGAAAAAGGAGAAAAACCTAGATGTATGTATATATATATATGCATGTGCGTGTCTGTGAAGTGTGACCAAAGTGTAAGTAGGAGTAGCAAGATATCCCTGTTATCTTAGCGTGTTTATGAGACAGAAAAAGAAACCAGCAATCCTACCATCATGCAAAACAGTTACAGGTTTTTGTTTCACAGTCATCTGGCAGGACGGTAGTACTTCCCTGGGTGGTTGCTGTCTACCAACCTAATACTTTTGGGTGTCTGGAACAGATTAATTGGATTTACATTATTTCTCATGGGGAAAATGAATTCGGAAATTGTCAGATTTGGGTTTAGTCACTCTCTCAGAAATGGATTAATTATGATAACTAGGGGTCCACTGTATTTCCAAAAGTAATGCCCTGCCATTTTCTTTTAAGTCCTCCAGTAATTCCAAATTATGTGGCTTTAGAGAATTTTTTTAATTAATGACGGAATGATAGGAAAAGAAAAAAAAGTATTGTACCCTATGCTAAATTATACCTGGGGATACCTCTTCTTTCTCTCAAGTGCAACCCACTTAATCTCATTATGCCACAAAAAATCTAACCCATAGTTATATTAACCCTTTCAGGGTCCAGAGGCCCTCTCAGACTTGTTCTCAGGGTCCCCCAAATTTAAAAAAAAAAAAAAAAAAATTTCTATGAAAACAGAATTTTTCCCGATCATAATGACACCAAAAGTATGAAATTTGATGGAAAACTTACGGAATTATGCTCTCGCGAAGTTAGCGGTCTTGACGATGTTTACGCATCGGTGATTTTGCCCACTTTGAGCCCTATTTTCGGCCAATTCCAATGTACTAATCGACAAAAATCATAACTTTCGCTAGAACTTCTTTTTTTTCTATTGAATGAATACAAGAAACCACCAATTTACCAATTTCAACTATCCAATACAGTGGTCAGAATTTAGAAATTTTGCCAATTTCACACAAATTTCAAAAGATGCCAATTTCCAAATAGGGTCCAGAATAAACAAGACATACCTGGCACTAAAATAACATTTCCTCTGTTCATTAGTCATGTCCCCAGGCCCCTCTTACATTTCTTTTGCTTTCCACTTTGAATTTTTATTCTCACAAAAAAAAAATTAGATTTACTGTTATGCAGACTACTGCATTTGTGTAGAAATGGTATAAATAATATCAGCGCACTTGTGAAAGAATATTAGACTCGCCAGTTGACGTGTATTGGACGCTTAGCATGATTTGTTTACTTTTGAACTTTGGTAAAAATCGAACATTTCTGCTACTTTGAGCTCAATTTCAAGGTACTTTTCTTTGTAAAACCAGTCAAACTCATCTCAATTTCTGTAATATGTCTTCCATTCTATACAATGAAACCAGGAAAACTAGAATACAACAATAAATACCATACGGAAATATAGTGCAAAGTCGCTGTTTTAATCCAAAAACAGTCAGTTTTTTTTTTCTCATTACGCACTGTGTGCTGCAGGATTTTTTTTATACTGCACACACACACTGACCACATAGACCCATTCTTTCCTATGTAGGCCTACCAGCTTTTTCTCACTAGATTTGAAGGCGCTAGAATTTATGCGTACTAGTACATCATGGACGCTGGCGCGTAAGCCCTACTAGTACAGCCGAAACCCTGAAAGGGTTAATTGAAGAAATTCTTAGAAGCCACTGGAGTGGCTTTCATTGTCAAGTTTCTTAAAAGTGTTTTCTTGAAACATTAACTTGAAACAAAACATTATTTTTTTTTATTACAACTTAAGTATTAAAATAGGGCAACTACGAACAATATACTTTTTTTTTTGCATGTTTTAGAATGAAAAGTGAACTCTGAATAGTATTCAATAAAGGTTTGTGAAAGAATAACAGACTCAGATATCGATCACAACAATGTTATTGTAACACACTTTCAGATACAATATAGAAACATTTACTTACTAGTTATATCGTAAACAACAACTGCAACTGTGGAGTCTCTAATATAAGATGGAATGAGACTACGGAACCTTTCTTGCCCAGCTGTATCCCAAAGTTGAAGTCGAACCTGTTAAAAAAAAATACAATGTACAATACAGCATTAGACATACTACTTGGGAAACAAGATCACACTTCACAACCATATAATTACACACTAGCCCTCTTCACAGGCCAGTAGCATCAACACTACACTACCCCTCTTCACAGGCCAGTAGCATCAACACTACACTACCCCTCTTCACAGACCAGTAGCACTAATACTAAACATTTTAAGTCTCTGAAAAGTTTCAGAGATGCCAACTTACTGGTTTTTATGGAAAAGTTCGACCTAGACAACCGAAGTCAACATGGAGTCACCTAGGGTATAATATAATGTTCATACCTAAATTAATACTTGAGCTATAATATGAAGCAGGGTTAGGGTGTTCAAGCCAAAAGTAATATCCAAGCTATGATATAAAACTGGGTCTGGGTGTTCATAACCAAAGTAATATCCAAGATTCAATATGAAGCCGAGTTAGGATTATATTATTTTATTATTATTATCACACTGGCCGATTCCCACCAAGGCAGGGTGGCCCAAAAAAGAAAAACTTTCACCATCATTCACTCCATCACTGTCTTGCCAGAAGGGTGCTTTACACTACAGTTTTTAAACTGCAACATTAACACCCCTCCTTCAGAGTGCAGGCACTGTACTTCCCATCTCCAGGATTCAAGTCCGGCCTGCCGGTTTCCCTGAACCCCTTCATAAATGTTACTTTGCTCACACTCCAACAGCACGTCAAGTATTAAAAACCATTTGTCTCCATTTGCTCCTATCAAACACGCTCACGCATGCCTGCTGGAAGTCCAAGCCCCTCGCACACAAAACCTCCTTTACCCCCTCCCTCCAACCTTTCCTAGGCCGACCCCTACCCCGCCTTCCTTCCACTACAGACTGATACTCTCTTGAAGTCACTCTGTTTCGCTCCATTCTCTCTACATGTCCGAACCACCTCAACAACCCTTCCTCAGCCCTCTGGACAACAGTTAGGATGTTTGTACATAAAGTAATATCTGGGTTACAATATGAAGCTGGGTTAGTGTCCATATCCAAATACAGAAAATATGAATAATTACAAATGGGTACAACACAAATTTACAAAAGCTGTGGGAAGATTCAGTGCAATAAAAAAAAATACAGGGGAACTCCATTTTCGTACGGTCTGAATATCGTGCAATTCGGATTTAGAACACTTTTTTGGGCGAAATTTTGGTCCAGATTTCATACCTCCGTTCAGAAATCGCGCATATCAGCCGCATCCGCCCGCCCGGGATGCCGCCACTCATGTGCACGTGTCTCAGTCTGGCCCTGTCACTGGTTGAGTGAGCATTCATCGGAAATATTTCGCAATTTTTGTGCTTGTTTATCGATTGCAACTGCGAAATAAGCCACTGTGGGCCCAAAGAAAGTTCCTAGTGCCAGCCCTTTGATAAAGAAGGTGAGAAACACGATATAATTCAAGAGATTGTAGAAAAATACGAAAGTGGCGTACGTTTAGCCGAACTTGCCAGGATGTATGGGAAGTCTAAATCAACAATCTGTTCCATCCTGGCAAAGAAAGTAGAAATCAAGGAAGCTAAAGCTGCGAAAGGGGTAAATATGCTAACGAAACAGAGATCACAAACAATCGAAGATGTGGAGTTGCTGTTTGGGTGGATCAATGAAAAACAGTTAGAGTTGAGTCGATCATTTGCTAAATGGTAAGGCATCTGCATGCAGATCTCGTAAAGAAAATGCCTGGAACGAGTGCTGCTGTTAGCAAATATAAGGCCAGTAAAGGCTGGTTCAACAGATTCAAGAAGTGCAATGGCATACACAGTGTTGTAAGGCATTGTGAGGCTGCAAGTTCAGACAAACGTGATACAAGCTGTATCTGCAACATATTCAATGACGATACCTTGTCCCATTTCAGGCAAATCTTAAAGACCAGAAATAGAGCTCTCTGGACAGATTTTCAGTGCAACAGGGGTCCAGTGCCAGTAAAAGACAAAGAAGGGAAGTAACCCCAGAGAGGGCTTTGATACCTGAAGTCCTTATGGCAGGGGATTCCCCTTCCAAACAATAACCTCAACTCCCTCTCCCCTCCTTGCCTTCAATATGCCAACAAGTCCTCAATAAAGGTATGTAATGTTCACTTATTAAAATTAGTCATTTATATTTATTTATCATTGCTTTCTGTATGTAAAACTATAGTTATAATTAAAAAATGTATTTTTTTTTTTTGGGGGGGGGGGGGTCTGGAACGGATTAATTGGATTTACATGATTTCTTAAGGGAAATATTGCTTCAGTTTTTGTCGAATTTGGTTTTCATCAAACTCTCTGGAACAAATTAAAGACGAAACCGAGGTACCACTGTATAATGAATTGAAAACAAAAGCAAGCCACATGCACAGCTATGTTCTTACTACAAATGCCACAGGTATGAAGCTCAAGACCCTAACAGGTGTGAAGAGAGGCTGATCTTACACACGTTGACTCCATTACCCTACGAGTTAATAAATAACTGTTAGCCAATTGTTGTCATTTGTATCCTGGGTAGTGCACCTTAGACAGGGCTCAACTTTGAAAGGAGGAGACAGAATACATCTTTTAAGTTCAATCAAGTTCAGTGGTTTAAAACAACAAATCCCAGACCTCCCTTAACTACTTACTGTTCTATCCTCCAGGTACATGGTTTTGGAGAGGAAATCAATGCCAATGGTTGCCTGTGGGGAGAAGAAAAATGTAAATTAGTAAAGGGTAAAGAAAGGGGCAAAATTTAAAAAATAAAAAGCAGAGAATAGTCATAATATTGTGACTGGAACAATACACAAATAACCCGCACATAGGATAAAGAAACTCATGACAACATTTCAGTCAGATTTGGACCATTAACTAGTTAATAGTCAAAGTCTGACTGAAGCATCCTAAATTTCTTCCTATGTGCAGATTATTTGTGTAAATAAAAAGTAGAACATGAAAACTCAGGCAAGTGACTTGGTAGACGGTGCCAAATATCCCCAATGTACAGCAGAACACTAAGAAAAAATTAAGTGTGAAGGGATCAAAATTTTTCAATACATAAAGGGGGATTACCAACAAACTCCTTGATCTCTTAAAGTGAGAACTGTACAAGTTCAAATAGTCTGATGCATACATTGGACTGCATGAGGCTAGCACCAACAGCCTGGTTGATCGGGTCATCCACCTAGAGGTCTGGTCTGGGACCAGAACACTGCAGGTAAATACACCTAGAGGCGTAACTTCTTAAGTCGATTATTTAAAACTCGGAACCTATTTTCTCAGATACCCATGTTGCAACCAGAGATGCATTTCAGTTATAATATTCCATAAGTAATTTTATACGTTTTTGAACATTCAGTACTGCTCTTTTACACAGATTAAGAACTAGAGTATTTCAGTTGTTGAGCGAACTAAAAAAGGTATCCCTGTATTCCATAAGCCCAGCCTCCTCTACCTCATTGCATGGAAAGAAAAGTGGAGGGTGGTCATAAAAGTCAAATGCAGGAAAATGTGTAAGCATCTGTATGTTGGTGTGTTAATTTCTGCACGCGTTGATTTTTTGTCTACATAGTGGGATCCTTATAGTAGCCTTTACCTCACCATCAACCTGTTCATTTCCCCAGTACACTAACAGGACCCAAGCACCTACAGAACTTCACCTTGTGGCAAAGGGAGTAATAGAGTCTAAAATCTTGGGTAGCTTGGAAGGGAGATTGGAACAAAAATTAGAGATAAGATAGGTCCCCTTAAAAATAACTTTGGGCATCTCACTGACAAGGAGAATGAAATGTGCTCTATTCTTAATAATTATTTTCTCTCGGTTTTCATTCAGGAAGACACTGACAATATCCCAGTAATTAATTTTTATAGTGGGCTTGAAGATGATGAATTATGCAGTATCACAATCACTAGCGAAATTATCAAACAGATAGAACGGTTAAAGCAAAATAAATCCCCGGGCCCTGACGAACTTTCTTCAAGGATTCTTAAAGAGTGTAAAGTGGAACTCTGTGAACCTTTAACTAATACTTTTAATTTATCTCTTCAAACAGGTGTAGTGCCTGATATGTGGAAGATGGCTAATGTAATTCCTATTTTTAAAGCAGGGGACAAGTCGCTACCGTCAAATTACCGCCCAATAAGCCTAACCTCAATTGTAGGCAAATTACTAGAGTCAATTATAGCTGATTAATATAAGAAGCCATCTCGGCAGTGTCTTCTCTGGGTGTGTTGAAGATGTTTAATGCCCGTCGTCTGCAGTCTGATGAAGTGACAAGGATAGTGGAGTTTAGAAAATACTTGTTCAATTATAGTGCATTCTTCCTAGAGAAACTCATTGCTGCAGATTCTGAGTGCGTGCAGGAAGAAGCCTATAATTACACCACGTTTAGTTTTGGTGTCGTGGTGAGAGTAGAAGTGGAGAAGATCGTTTTGGTTGGTGGGTTTTCGATAGACTTTAAAACGAAGTTCATGGTCAGCTTTGCAGAGGAGAACATCAAGGAAAGGAACAGTGTTGTTGATTTCAAGTGTGAAATGGATTGAAGGCTCGACCTGGTTGAGCTTGTCTTGGCGACTTGAACGTTGAAGCATCTAGGAGTTATGAGGAGAATGTCGTCAACATAACGGAGCCAGGTGACAGACGAAGGAATAATGGTGGAGAAACGCTCGGCTTCTAGATGTTCCATGTATAGGTTCGCCAGGACCACACTGAGTGGCGAACCCATGGGTAGTCCAAAAGTCTGCTGAAAGTGGTGATTTTCGAAAGAGAAACACGTAAAGCCAACATCGACCTTGTTGAACTGTGTTGGCTTTACGTGTTTCTCTTTCGAAAATCTCCTCTTTCAGCAGACTTTTTGACTACCCATGGGTTCGCCACTCAGTGCAGTCTTGGCGAACCTATACATGGAACATCTAGAAGCCGAGCGTTTCTCCACCATTATTCCTTCATCTGTCACCTGGCTCCGTTATGTTGACGACATTCTCCTCATAACACCTAGACAGTTCAACGTTCAAGCTCTCCAAGACGAGCTCAACCAGGTCAAGCCTTCTATCCAGTTCACATTTGAAGAAGTTGACAACACACTTCCTTTCCTTGATGTTCTCCTCTGCAAAGCTGACCATGAACTTCGTTTTAAAGTCTATCGAAAACCCACCAACCAAAACGATCTTCTCCACTTCTACTCTCACCATGACACCAAACCTAAACGTGGTGTAATTATAGGCTTCTTCCTGCACGCACTCAGAATCTGCAGCAATGAGTTTCTCTAGGAAGAATGCACTATAATTGAACAAGTATTTTCTAAACTCCACTATCCTCGTCACTTCATCAGACTGCAGACGATGGGCATTAAACATCAACACACCCGAGAAGACACTGCCAATAAGAGATACATAGTCCTCCCCACTAACTCCACTGCCAAACACGTTTCCAACATCTTTTCCAATACCTCATTCCAAGTATCTACCTCCACAACCACGACCATCAAGGACATTACCAGTAATAGACAGGACAAGCTTCCATCCTCTGCAGGGGTATACATAATCCCTTGTAATGACTGCAGGAAATTATACATGGGCGAAACATCAAGGGACCTCCAAACACGTATTTCAGAACACCAATACGCAAGCAGGTCTGACGATACAAGGAATGCCTGTGTACAACACCGTAATTCACACAACCACTTAATAAACTACAGAAACTCAAGACTTATCGCCACAGAAGACAACACTCAATACCGAAGAATCCTGGAATCATCACTTGTCTCTCTATCCGACAACTTCAACCAGAATAATGGCTTCTATAACGTAACTGAACCACTTGTCAAGAAACTTCTTCATTGCTATCCCACATAAGAGCATAGGAATGGAAGAACACTGCAGAAGGTCTGCTCACAAACTTATCCAATCTCCCTTCCAAGCTACCCAAGATTTTAGACTCTCTAATCTCACTCGGTACATCATCAGATGCAGCATTCTGAACCTGACCTCAGCATTGTGAACCTGACTATAAATACTCGCGTACCTTCCACCCCAAGTAGATCTGTGTGACTTGAAAAAGCCCACTATGTGGGCGGCGGCGGCGGCGGCGGCAGCAGCAGCAGCACAATATGTTAGAACAATTAACTTGCACATGAGTAAAGGATATAAAAGCTATTACTTGGGAAACATAAAAATAGGTTAGACAAATATTTCTATTGGAGGTTGGATAGAGAAGGCCTGTTTCAATGTTCATTCCTGTAATGTGCTTGTGTAGTTTTAACAGGAGAGACTGTGATGGCAGGCTTTACTGTTTTCAGAAGGATTCTTGCTAAGACTTCAGAGATGGTGAAGCTGCCTTTGTTTTATTTAGTTGTATTAGAAACAGCTATTAGTGAAGATTCAAGACACTTGCGTCTGCGGAAATTAGTTTCTTTGATCACTAGTTGGGCGTCCCTGAACTTCATGAGATGATTGATGGAATTTCAGTGTTGTACACAGGCGTTGCTCAAGTTATCGTTCCTACATGCGTAAATGTGTTCATTGAGGCGGGTGTCGAGGTTTCTTGCTGTTTCACCTACATAAATCTTGTTGCAGCCTCCACAGGGTATAGTGTAAACCCCTGCGTTGACTAGTTCGTGGTGCTTGGATTTTGTTCCGGTTAGATCCTTTATCGAAGTGCTAGAAGCGATGGCGACTCTGGGACACCCAACTAGTGATCAAAGAAACTAATTTCCGCAGATGCAAGTGCCTTGAATCTTCATTAATAGCGTTTCTAATACAATTAAATAAAACAAAGGCAGCTTCACCATCTCTGAAGTCTTAGCAAGAATCCTTCTGAAAACAGTAAACCCTGCCATCACATAGTCTCTCCTGTTAAAACTACACAAGCACATTACAGAGAATGAACATTGAAACATGCCTTCTCTATCCAGCCTCCAATAGAAATATTTGTCTAACCTATTTTTGTTTCCCAAGTAATAGCTTTTATATCCTTTACTCATGTGCAAGTTAATTGTTCTAACATATTGTATTATTACTACTACTATACGGCTACTTATATCACTACTACTACCACTAGTATTGCACCTTACTCTGAGCCTATATATATACCCTGTGTGTCCAAGTACTGTTTGTAACGGCTTCACAAAGCTCCTGGAGAGCGAAACGTTGCCACAATAAAATGTCACATTAGTTGCACTTGTGTCCTTTTACTTTACAAAAGATAAGGTAATCAATCCCTCAGTCTTTCGAGTTGAAGAGCACGGTAGTTGTGAAGAATCTGAAGCACAGGCAAGAAAGCTGGCAATTTCTGTCTAGCATCCTTTTGAAATTTTCCCTTTTGTTTAAGACCAAAGTTTAAGGAAGTTTTATTAGTTTAACTGACTTTGCTTATTATGCATATATTGCATATATCATTGAGCAGAGACACATGGGCCATCCTAAGAGATTAATTGCGAAGTAATAATTCTGGCTTTGCTGGGGCAAAATCTTAATAGTCATAGGTACTAAACAGTGAAATATGATTTACAAAATCCCCAATGCACTACCGAAGTGTCGAAGTGCACGCTGACTTACTTCATATATAATTCCTCCCTCCCCCCCATACACACCTGGGCCAGTGCCCAGAGGAAAAACGGCAACCAGAGCAGGTCTGAAGAAAAGGAAGGTGATAACTTAAGCTAGGGCCCTATCAGGCCACCAGGCAAGGCCGAAGAATGAAGAG